GCCACCCGAAGGTTTCGGGAACAGCAACTCATATTCCGCTTGGGAACTCTGCAGCCCAATGGTATCAATGTGGACTTCACAAGCTTCAAAATCTCCCCTTCCCCTACCGCATCCCAAAATCAGCCCAGCTTGACCCGCCTCCCTAACCTGTCCTTCCTCCCACCTGTCCCTTCCTCCCACCTCAAGCCTCACCCCCATCTCCTACCTGCTAACCTCATCCCGCCCCCTTGACCTGTCCGTCCTCCCTGGACTGACCTATCCCCTCCCTACCTCCCCACCTACACTCACCTTTACTGGCTCTATCCCTGCCTCTTTGACCTGTCTGTCTCCTCTCCACCTATCTTCTCCTCTATCCATCTTCTATCCGCCTCCTCCTCTCTCCCTATTTATTTCAGAACCCCCTTCCCCTCCCCCATTTCTGAAGAAGGGTCTAGGCCCGAAATGTCAGCTTTCCTGCTCCTATGATGCTGCTTGGCCTGCTGTGTTCATCCAGCTCTACAACTTGTTATCTTAGAAGATTATATTAGACTTGGTTTTATGTTAATTGACAGGATTCATCAATGGCTTCAGAGCTAAGGCACTCCGAGGTAGCAGAGACCACAACTTGATTGAATTTTACATCAAGTTAGAACAGAGCAGATTGGGTCAGGGATCAGTATTTGAAACATACATAAGGGGCACCACTTGGGTATGAAAACTGAGCTAGCTAGAGTGAACTGGGATGCCAGGCCAGGGAATAATTCAAAAAGAGACACTGTGGCAGACAATTAAAAGGAGATTTCAGAATCCTCAGAGTAGATAGCAAAGTACATTGTGAAGAAGACATAAGGAGGTTAGAGATGGATATAGAAAGGTTGAATGAGTAGACAAAAGTCTAACAGATGGTGTATAATGTGGAAAATGTGATGTTGTTCACTTTGGCAGAAAAGACAGAGTATTATTTAAGCAGAGAATGACTGTAGAATTTCAAGGTGCAGAGGTGTCACAAAACATTGGTATGCAAGCACAGCACATTCAAGAAGGTGAATGGGATGCCATCATTTATTTTGAGAAGAATTGAACATAAAATTTAGGCTTAAAATTCAAGTATATTGGGCATTGGTAAGATCACATGCAGAATACTATGTACAGTACTGATTTCCTTTTGTTTTAAGGAAGGTGTTGCAGATGGCTCAGAAGAGATTTAATACCTGGAATGAATGCATTTTCTTAAGAGGGTAGGGTTGGACAGACTGGGCTTGTTCCCATTGAAGATTAGCAGAGAGAGGGGTGATTTGATTGAATTATATATGATGTTGGAAGGATGTTTCCTCTTGTGGGTCAGTCCAGAAGTAGGGAACAAAAACAGAAAGTACTGGAGAAACTCACAGGTCTGGCAGCAACTAGGGAGAAAGAAACATTTCGAGTCCAATGACTTCGGATTCAAGTGGAAATCCTGTCGGAGAAAAGTGGAGAACCTCTTCAAGGAGGACATACTTAAAGAGACCTTGAGGACACCATTAAAATTAGGGGCTTTCAAGAGAGGGGATGAGGAAATTTCTTGTCTGAGGTTTGAGCGACTTTGGAACTCTCTGTGTCAAAAGACAGTGGAATTTGGATCATTAAATATTTTTAAATCAGTAGTACATTGATGTTAGACAAGGAAATCAAAGAACATTGGACGTAGCTGAAAATGTGAAATTCAAAACGCAACTAGATCAAGATGACAAACAGAATATGATCTTATTGAATGGTGGAGCAGGTATGAGGGACTGAATGGTCTAATTCTGTCCCTATTTCATACATTTATGTCTATGCTCACATAATGCTCCATTTATCATGATCATGAACCAGGATTGTTTATTATTTCCTGATTGCCATTTTTGTAAGCCAGATGTTTGAATTCTGCAGGCTTGGTTTAGGTATAACATCAATCAATAGGTGTATCCATCGACACTAATCATCACCCCATCCTTTTCCTTCAACTTCAAAACCAGCTCCAGGTACTGTTGTCATCTCTAACACACATCTTGGATTGAAGCAAAATCCACCATATGCCTTGATATCTGCAATTAATTTAGTAAGCGATGGAATTATGGTAATATATTTGACCCTCTATTTATCAAAACAATACAACAGAAAAATCGGGAATCTTACCAAATTTACTTTTTGTAAAGTAGCTCCTTTTGTTGAGGGTTTTGGCCTGAAACGTTGACTTTCCTGCTCCTCGGATGCTGTCTGACCACGCTATGCTTTTCCAGCTCCACATTTATTGACTCCTTTTGTTGACTTGTCCAATCATTGCATACATTTCCTGTGAAGATTAAACTAAAAGGTTAGTTTAGGTCATTTAGGAAGCTATTTATGAAGGAAAAATAGAGATTAAACTAACCCATACCAATTCAAGCTTCATGGTTTTGTCCCACTTAACCTTCAAACAGTTTTGTCTTCAAATGCACACATCTCAGCTCTCTGAGACTTGCCTTTTATGCACAGAAAACATGGGTATTGTTCACAAATACAGCATTATTCCCCATTTCGTAGAATCCCTACAGTGTGGAAGCAGGCCATTCAGCCCATCAAGTCCACACCACCCTTCCGAAGAACATCCCACTCATACCTACCCCATCTCTGTACCCCTGCGTTTCCCATGGCTAATCCACCTAGGATACACATCTTTGGAAATTGGAGCACCTGCGCACAGACAAAGGGCGAATGTGCAAACTCTACACAGATGGTCACCTGAGGCTAGGATTG